TTTCCATCTTTGCTCATTCCCAGCAGGAGGAGTCAGGAACTGGAATGAGTGTCACAGGTTGGTGGTGGAGTCGCTGTCTCTGGAAGTGCTGGAGAGGGCTCCTGGATGTGGCCCTTAGGGATGGGGTTTCGGGGTGATTCTGGTGGGGCTGGGGGGAAGGTGGCACTGGTGCTGGTTTGGCGCTGCCGCGTCGGGAACTGTTTGGTCTTGGTGAGATCCACTTGGAGCGATCCCGAGCATCCAGAGACTGGTCATCCTGTAGGAATGTGTCCACGTGAAGCCGCCCTGCGTGGTGCCCTCGGGGTAGGCTCTGGGCCAGCCTCACCCCTCCGGGCTGGCCCGGCGCTGGAGCGGGGTCTAATCCTCAGGCTGTGCCCGTGTGCAGGAGCGGAACAGCTGGTGCAGAGCCCCGAGCGCCCACCTGAAACGACAGGGACTATTCCTGGGGCCCTGGGTCTGTGTCCCCGCCTCTGCCACCTGCTTGTGCGAGGCAGGAGGAGCTGCAGCCCCTCGGGGGTCCTGGGCCTCCAGCTGGGCAGGGGAAGGGCTGGGGGGGCAGCAGGGGCTCTCTGGGGCAGGGCCCTGGGTCTGTGACCCTGCCTGTGCCACCTGTTTGTCCAAGGCAGGAGGAGCTGCAGCCCCTCGGGGGGCCTGGGCCTCCAGCTGGGCAGGGGAGGCACAGACCGGCCCTGCCGGATGCTCAGCCCACGCCTCGTGAGGGACGGGCACCGGGAGCCCCTCTGCCTCAAGGATTGCCAGCCTGTGTTCCGTGCCTTCTCCCTGCGACAGCTCCAGGACGCTCAGTTCTTCCCACTCATCCTCCTTCTGGTGCAAGGGCTTGACCTGGGTGTTGTGGGCAGTCACGCGTTCCCAGTTCTCCAGTGCGAGCTCCCTGTCACTGCCATGTCCACACTGGGACTGCTCTGAGTGTCTTTTAACTTCCCCTTCAGATAATTCTTGACCAATGCAGTCTTCGTCTTCCTCTTGGGAAAGCTCTTCGCTGATGCTGTCTTCCCATTGGTAGCTCTTGCCGTCTTCCTCATCCTGCTCCCTGCAAAGCTCCATCTCATCGTAGAATTTCCAGTTGTTCTCATCCTCGGCAAACGCCCCTCCTTGGTCTCCTGAACTGCCAGGACTGCCCCCCCTTCTCCTGCCACCTGCTGCCCACTGAGGGCCTTGCCTTCCATATAGATGAGCGTAGGGGAGAAGTGGCAGCAGGGGCTGTGTGGGAGAGAGTCCAGGCTCTCTGTCCTTTCTGCGGTACCTGTCATTATCATTTCTGCACCTGTGCTTTCTTCCTCGTCTCCCTGTTCCTCCAGCTGCTGCTCAGATCCCTGGATCTCAACCTCAGCCTCGCTCAGGATCTCAGTGGGGATTTGCTGCTCTGTGTCCAGCAGGGCCTGGCTGCCCTCTGAGGGGCTCTGTGGGGCAGGGACCGGGCTCTGTGTCCCTGCTGATGGCACCAGCTCCCCAGAGGCTGCAGAACCTTCTGCCTTTGGTTCCTCAGGAGCGAGAGGCCCCTGGGGCTCCTCCTCCTCAGCAGCTCCGGCCGGGGCAGCAGCTGCCGGCTCGGCCTCCGTGGGACTCAGCGGGGCAGGAGCTGGGCTGGGCAGCTCTTGGACTGTCACACGTTCTTCCCATTGGGTCAGCTCATGGTATCTCACACCACCTTCTTCCCATTCGTGCAGCTCCTGGCGTCTCACACTTTCTTCCCATCGGTACAGCTGTGGGTGTCTCCCATGACGCCACAGGGAAAGTCCTCGAACTCTCAAGTCTTCTTCAAATTTGTAGAGATCTTGGGGTCTCCTGGCTCTCTGTTGGGAAGGTTCTGGGACTCTCACTTCTTCTTCCCATTGATAGACTTGTTGGAGTGTCACATCTTCTTCCCATCGGGACAGTTCCCTCCTGGGTGTGTCATTCCGCAGCCAACTGGGCAAGGGATTGGGGGCCTGGGAGTTACAGTTCCTCCTCTTCCTATCCATCTGTCTTGTTCTCTGCTGCAGAGGGATCCATGGAGTTGATTCCTTCTTGCAGAGGGGCTCTCCTGGTTGTGGGCACCCCAGGGTTCTGTTGCCCCTCCAACACCTGGGCAGGGCAGGGGCTGGGATGTCACAAAGGTCTCCGGGCACCCCCATGGCCGCGTCACAAAGGGCCCTGGAAGGCGCCCGTGTCACAAAGGGCCACCCCCGGCCCCCCATGGACAGCGGGACCGCCCGGACCCGGCCCGGGGCAGCCCCGGCACTCGTGGCCTTGCAGCCCCTGCTGTGCCCGGAGCCCGGGCAGGGGCTGCTCCGCTGGGGAATGTCCTTCCAGCGTAAAGTGCCGGCAGAGAGCACAGGGCAAATCAGTCTCTCCCTCCCGGCACTGCTTCTCTCTCTCGAGTGTTCCAAGCAAATAAAGCGGTCGCTGAACAAGTGGCAGGAAAGGCACTGCCCGCAGCCGGTGCTGCCAGCCCAGCACCCCATCCCCGGGGCACCCGCCAAGGGGCCCTGGCTGGGCCGGGCACGGGGCACGCACAGCACTCGGGGGAGCCTTGGAACATTGTCCAAAGTGTACTGTGGAGCTCTGGTGTTTGCCAGGGGCTCCGGGAGAGCCTGTGCTCTCTGCACCCACTCGGGGCTGCTCCCTGCTCCTCTGCCGCCTTATTTCCCAGGGGGATGGAGGTGACAGTGCCCTGGCTGTGACCCTGCACGCACAGCACATTGGAATACAGGCAGCACGTGTGTGCCCCGACTCCACGGGCTCATTGCTGGCAGGAGGGGACACACAGGGACGTTCCCTGGGCTCGGGGAACCTTGGTGCCTTTGTTTAAGGACATATTCCCCTGTGTTGCTGTGAGGTTTTCTCCTTTGGATTGTTTACTACTCTCCTATTGCACAACTTACTGTGACATATGTGCCCTACCCAATCATATCCCTTCCAACTTACCTCCTGGTCATGTACCTACATCCCTGTCACATATTCATGTTGACCCTGCCTCCCTATTCCTAGTTATACATACCCACCCCCTTTTTCTAGAACCCTCCTCAGCCTGCCCTATAAAAGGCAGCCAATTTGAATAAAGGCAGATCTGCCCAGGATCTGCAACCCTGTCAGAACCCTGCAGGTCTCGTGTCGTTTCTTCCTAAACACTGACAGGGGTAAGCACGGGGAAGCTTCCAGCAGCTGCTCACAGATCCCACCCTGCAGACTCCTCGGTACCCTGGGCAGTGTGTGGGTGCACAGGACACTGTTGTGAGCGCTGGATGTGATGACGGAGGGGCTGGAATGTCCGGAGCTGCACTTGGCAATGGCACCTGAGACCCTCTGGGTAAGGACTGAGGGACAAACAAATGAAGCAGCTGTGTGTCCACAGGCTGCTCTTGGCAGGTTGATGACATGGATGAATTGTTCTTTAAGGAATATCCCAGGAACATCCCCAAATACACTGCCCATGTCCTTGCGGGGGAAGTCAACTGGGCAGGGTTAACTGGGACAGATGGTCAGACTGGTCTGGGAGGTTCCTAAAACACATGGATGAACAATTCCTTGGTACAGAGATTCAGGGAACCGCCTCGGGGAGGTCCCAGGTTGGACTTGATGATCTTGGAGCTCTTTTCCCAAGTCCCTGATTCTGGGATTCTTTTTGCTGGTTGAGCTGCAGCGTGCTGGCTTTCCCAGGGCAGCTTCCTTTAGGACATCCTGTCTGAGAGCTCTGCAGCTGATCCCATGTTGAGGATGACCAAGAAGATGAGGATACATCTTAGGAAGATTGGAAAGAGCGCTTTGTGGCAGGAGAAGAGATGTTACCTGAACCAACAACTGAGATGTGAAATGAACTGTGTTTCATAGGAGGAGATGAGAATGGAGGATTTTCTATCTTCCATTTTTACCCCTGCCTTGTTGTTGAGATCTGTGCCTCCTGGCATGGAAATAACTGTTCATTGGTTGAGATGATGTTAGATATTCACCAATCCAGTTCTTCCCCAGTTATGTCATCAAGAGTTCAACCCCTTTATTGCATATGCATTTACCTCTACCCAATCTGTGTTAGTGGATTTGCATGCTTCACCCACCTTCCAGTATCTTCCCTACCTTCTCCCTTAAATAGCCCTCCATTTTTAATAAACACAGATCAGCTTTGGATCAGCTCCTTGCTGCTCTTTTGTTAACACTGCTGTCTCCTGTGTCCTTCATTGGGCTAGCATAGCATGCTACTTTAGAGCTGGCTTAACCTTACATCGACAGGCTGTCCAAGGACCCCTTGCTGGTCTGCTCCTTTCCCCAGCAACCAAAACCGTGACAATCCCACAGGTATCTGTGAGGAACAACACAGCCCCCCTGCTGCCTTAGGGGGGATGGATCAGGGGAACCCCTCCCATCTGGCACAAGGCTGTTCCAGGCAGGCAGTGCTGCTGAGGAACCCACTCCAGCCTGGCCCCAGGGAGGGAACTCTTGGAGATTTTTAGGAAGAACTCATTCCTGGCTGGGAGGGTGGGCAGGCCCTGGCCCAGGTTGCCCAGAGAAGCTGTGGCTGCCCCTGGATCCCTGGAAGTGTCCAAGGTCAGGTTGGATGGGGCTTGGAGAACCTGGGATCATGGAAGGTGTCCCTGCCCATGTGTTCTGATCCCATTAGGGAGAGATGCCTCTGCCCAACTTAAGGTGTAAATGAGACCATTTGCTGACAACACTTGGATTTTATTGAATGCAGACTTTATTGAACTAGAAATGAGAACTAAACAGCTAGATGGAGATACTGGATACTGAGGGGGAGCTATAGGAATCTTCCTAATCTTATGTCTTCTCTAATTCTCCTAGTGCAACTGCAAGAACCTATCTATCTGTCCTATAAATATGATCCTTATGCTAATATGTAAATACAGTCTTATCTACCTTAGCCAAGTCTATCTTCATAGTCTATCAAAAAGTCTTCCTAAATATTATAAAAACCTATTGTAATAATTATTAACTGAATTCCCTACTTAAAGAGCTAAATGAATTAACCGAGTGAATGTCCTATAGCCGTGTTGGGTTTGTTTTGGAATAGTTGTGGCTGTGGCAGTCCTGCAGGGAGGTTGTGGGAGCAGCAGATCCTGTCTTTGCTCATTCCCTGCAGGAGTCGTCAAGATTGGCAGTAAATGTCACAAGTCGGTGGTGGAGTCACTGTCTGTGGAAGGATTGCAGAGGTGTGTGGGCCCGGCCCGGCGCTGGAGCGGGACCTAATCCTCAGGCTGTCCCCATGTGCAGGAGCGGAAGAGCCGGCGCAGAGCCCCGAGCACCCGCCTGAAACGACAGGGACGTTTCCTGGGGCCCTGGGTCTGTGCCCCCGCCTCTGCCACCTGCTTGTCCGAGGCAGGAGGAGTTGCAGCCCCTCGGGGGACCTGGGCCTCCAGCTGGGCAGGGGAGGGGCTGGGGGGGCAGCAGGGGCTCTCTGGGGCAGGGCCCTGGCTCCATGTCCCTGCCTGTGCCACCTGCTTGTGCGAAGCAGGAGGAGCTGCAGCCCCTCGGGGGGCCTGGGCCTCCAGCTGGGCAGGGGAGGCACAGACCGGCCCCGCTGGGCATGGGGCAGGCGCCCAGCGCTCAGCCCACGCCTCGCGAGGGACGGGCACCGGGAGCCCCTCTGCCGCAAGGATTGCCAGCCTGTGTTCCGTGCCTTCTCCCTGCGACAGCTCCAGGACGCTCAGTTCTTCCCACTCGTCCTCCTCCGGCCGCAAGGGCTTGACCTCCAAGCTGTGGACGGTCGTGTGTTCCCAGTCCAGCAGTGCCAGCTCCCTGTCGCTGTTGTCTTCCCAGCGGGACACCATGGAGGGGATGTAGTCTCCCCAGTCAGAAAACTCTTGGCCGAGGGAGTCTTCGTCTTCAGACAGCTCTTGGGCAATGGAGTCTTCCCAGTCGGACAGGAGTTCTTGGTAGGCACTGAATTTCCTTTGGAACTGCCCTTCCATGCTGGATTCTTCCGACTCGGTCAGTTCTGGGTAGCCACTGCTACTCCCTGGGGACTGCTCTTCCTCGCTGGATTCTTCCCACTTGGATGGTCCCTGGGAGATCTTCTCTTCTCCATGGGACAGCTCTTCTGTGCTGTCAGGCAGCTCTTCCCAGTCAGCCAGTTCTTCACACTTCTTCACTTCTTGGGACTGCTCCTGCTTCAGGTTTTCTTCCCAGTCGGACACTTCCTGGTAGCTCTTCACTTCTGCTGGGGACTGCTCTTCCTCAAGGAATTCTTCCCAGTCGGACACTTCTTGGAAGCTTCTCACCTGTCCTTGCCGCTGCTCTTGCTCCAGGTTTTCTTCCCAGTCCGACACTTCCTGGTAGCTCTTGGCTCCTCCGTGGGACAGCTCTTCCTCACTGGAGTCTTCCCAGTCGGATACATCTTGGCATCTCTTGGATTCTCCCTGGGACTGCTCTTGTTCCAGGTTTTCTTCCCAGTCGGACACCTCTTGGTAGCTCTTCACTCCTTCGTGGGGCAGTTTCTCCTCGCTGTGTTCTTCCCAGTCAGACACTTCTGGGTAGCTTCTCTTTTCTCCCTGGGACTGCTCTTGCTTGATGTTTTCTTCCCAGTCAGACACTTCCTGGTAGCTCTTCCCTTCTCCTTGGGGCTCCTCTTCCTCGCTGTATTTGTCCCAGTCGGACAGTTCCTGGAAGCTCTTGCCTGCTCCAGGGGACAGCTCCTGCTCCCTGCGCTCTTCCCCTTGGGACACTTCTTGGGAGGTTTTCGTTTCTTCTGGGGACAGCTCTTGGTCTCCCTCGTGTTCCCACTGGGAAATCTCTTGGTCAAGGTGGTATTTCCAGTCTTGGCCCTCTATGGCCCCCTCCTCGGTGTCTTGCCCTGACAGGAATGACCCCCTCTCTGCCTCCTCCTGCTGCTCCCTGACAGCCTGGTCTTCCAGGCTGGGAGCTGAGGAGCTGAGGGGGCTGCAGGGACTCTGTGGGGCAGGGACCGGGCTCCCTTCCCCATCTGCTGTAACTGCTGTTCCTGTTTCTGTGTCCGTGCTTTGTTCCAGGTCTCCCTGTTCCGCCTGCTCGCGGCCGGATCCCTGGATCTTCAGCTTAGCCTTGCTCAGGAATTCACTGCTGCTGGACTGGTCTGTGTCCAGCAGGGCCTGGCTGCCCTCTGAGGGGCTCTGTGGGGCAGGGACCGGGCTCTGTGTCCCTGCTGATGGCACCAGCTCCCCAGAGGCTGCAGAACCTTCTGCCTTGGGCTCCTCAGGAACGAGAGGCCCCTGGGGCTCCTCCTCCTCAGCAGCTCCAGCCGGGGCAGCAGCTGCCGGCTCGGCCTCCGTGGGACTCAGCGGGGCAGGAGCTGGGCTGGGCAGCTCACGGGCTGCCTCTGCTGCCACCTGTGTGCCCACGCTGCTGGGAGAGCTTGGCCCCTCCTGGGCAACAGGCTGGGGGTCCTCCTGCTTCCCTGGGCCCAGGGCCTCATCAGAGAGATTGGAGGGGATGTCCTCTTCCCACTGGGACAGCTCTGGCTCTCTGACCTCTTCCCCTTGGTCAGTGCATGATTTCCACTCTTTCTCCTCTCCAGCCAAGGTCCCCTCCTCAGTCTCTTGCAGTGACAGCAGTGACAGCACTGACCTCCCCTCTGTGTCCTCCTGCTGCTCACTGGCCACCAGGACTTCCAGGCTGGAAGCCAAGGGGCTGGCAGTGGAGCAGGGGCTGTGTGGGGCAGACACCAGGCTCTCTCTGCTTTCTTCTGCTGGAACTGTTTCCAAGTCTGTAGCTGTGCTTTGTTTCAGGTCTCCCTGTTCCTCCAGCTCCTGGCTGGATCCCTGGATCTCAAGCTCAGCCTTCCTCAGGATCTCAGTGGTGATGAGCTCGGCCATGTCCAGCAGGGCCTGGCTGCTCTCTGAGGGGCTCTGTGGAGCAGGGAGTGGGCTCTCTGTACCTGCTGCTGTTTCTTGCATTTCTACAGCTGTGCTTTCTTCTTGGTCTCCCTGTTCCATCAGCTGCTGCTCAGATCCCTGGATCACAGGCTCAGTCTCGCTCAGGATCTCAGTGGTGATGATCTCAGGTATGTCCAGCAGGGCCTGGCTGCCCTCTGAGGGGCTCTGTGGGGCAGGGACCGGGCTCTGTGTCCCTCCTGCTGTTTCCTGTATTTCTGCAGCTTTGCTTTTTTCCAAGTTTCCCTGTTCCATCAGCTGCTGCTCAGATCCCTGGATCTCAAGCTCAGCCTTCCTCAGGATCTCATTAGTGATGAGCTCGGCCATGTCCAGCAGGGCCTGGCTGCCCTCTGAGGGGCTCTGTGGGGCAGGGACTGGACTCTCTGTCCCCTCTGCTGTTTCTTGAATTTCTGCAGCTGTGCTTTGTTCCAGGTCTCCCTGTTCCATCAGCTGCTGCTCAGATCCCTGAATCTCAAGCTCAGTCTCACTCAGGGTCTCAGTGGTGATTAATTCAGTCATGTCCAGGAATTCGGGCATGTCCATGGCCTGGCTGCCCTGTGAGGGGCTCTGTGGAGCAGGGACTGGGCTCTCAGTCCCTCCTGCTATTTCTTGCATTTCTGCAGCTGTGCTTTCTTCTTGGTCTCCCTGTTCCATCAGCTGCTGCTCAGATCCCTGGATCACAGGCTCAGTCCCGCTCAGGATCTCAGTAGTGATGTCCTGCTCTGTGTCCAGTATGGCCTGGCTCCCCTCTGAGGGGCTGTGTGGGGAAGGGACCGGACTCTCTGTCCCTCCTGCATTTTCTTGCACTTCTGCATCTGTGCTTTGTTCCTGGTCTCCTTGTTCCTCGAACTTCTGCTCAGATTCCTGGATCTCAAGCTCAGCCTCGCTCAGGATGTCAGCGGTGATGAGCTCGGGCATGTCCAGGAACTCAGGCATGTCCAGCAGGGCCTGGCTGCCCTCTGAGGGGCTCTGTGGGGCAGGGACTGGGCTCTGTGTCCCTGCTGATGGCACCAGCTCCCCAGAGGCTGCAGAACCTTCTGCCTTTGGTTCCTCAGGAGTGAGAGGCCCCTGGGGCTTCTCCTCCTCAGCAGCTCCGGCCGGGGCAGCAGCTGCCGGCTCGGCCTCCGTGGGACTCAGCGGGGCAGGAGCTGGGCTGGGCAGCTCACGGGCTGCCTCTGCTGCCACCTGTGTGCCCACGCTGCTGGGAGAGCTGGGCCCCTCCTGGGCAACAGCCTGGGGGTCCGCAGTGCTCACTGGGCTCAAGGGTTTGTCCCAAATGCTGGGACCCACGTCAGCTGCCCCCTGAGACAGCTTTTTGTCACTTCTGTCTTCCCTTGGGGGCAGCTCTTGGGCACTGTACTCTTCTTCCTGGACTTGCTCCTTGTCTGTCTTGTCTTCCATCTGGGAGAGCTCTGGATCTCTCTTGTCTTCCCATTGGTACAGTCCATGGACTCCCACATCTTCTTCCTGCTGAGGCAGGTCATGGGATCTCGGACCTTCCTGCTGGGACAGTTCTTGGACTCCCAGATCTTCCCATTGGGAAAGTTCTTGAACTGCCAGATCTTCCCACTGGGACAGGTCTTCATATGTCTCTTCTTGTTCCCTTTGGGGCAGCTCTCGGATTGTCACATGTTCTTCCCATTGGGTCAGCTCGTGGTATCTCACACCACCTTCTTCCCATTCGTGCAGCTCCTGGCGTCTCACACTTTCTTCCCGTTGGTACAGCTCTGGCTGTCTCCCCTCACACCACTGGGAAAGTTCTTGGACTCTCATGTCTTCTTCAAGTGTGTAGAGTTCTTGGGGTCTCCCGGCTCCCTGTTGGGAACATTCTTGAACTCCCACTTCTTCCCATTGGTAGAGTTCTTCATAGAGTGTCTCGTCTTCTGTCTCAACTTCTGTCTCCTCTTCTTCCCATTCGGTAACATCTCCGAATTGGGAAAGGTCTCGATCGGTGTCGTCATTCCAGTCGGCATCGCCGTGGCCAAAGGACCCCTCCTCCATCTCTGACAGTGGGAGGCCTGACTCGCCCACTGCCCCCAACCACTGCTCACCGAGTGACTCGTCTTCCAGCCAGCTGGGCAAGGGGCTGGGGGGCTGGGAGTTGGGGTTCCCTTTGTCCTCATCCATCTCCGTTCTCCTCTGGTGCAGAGGGTTCCAGGCAGCTGCTGCCTCCTTGCAGAGGGGCTCTCCTGGTTGTGGGCACCCCAGGGCTCTGTTGTCCCTCCAACACCCGTGGGCAGGGCAGGGGCTGGGATGTCACAAAGGTCTCCGGGCACCCCCATGGCCGCGTCACAAAGGGCCCTGGAAGGCGCCCGTGTCACAAAGGGCCACCCCCGGTCCCCCCATGGACAGCAGAATAAGGGGTGACAGCTAGGGCTGTATCAGCCAGGGGATGCCTGGGCAAAGTTTTCACTTGGGGAGGTGTCGGGAAAAAACTGGATCCACTCTTCCTGTGATAAAACAGTAATCTGGAAGGGGATGCTTCCCCGAGTGACCTTGTTTGTCTGAAAACCAGGGAAATAAATGCCAGTGTGGTCATTTCTCTTCTAGAGCCCAGAGTGGAATCACAGAATCACAGAAGGTTTGGGTTAGAAGGGACATAAAAGATCATCTCATTGCACCCCTTGCCATGGGCAGGGACACCTTCTACTAGTCCAGGTTGCTCCAAGCCCCATCCAACCTGGTCTTGGACACTTCCAGGGATCCAGGGCAGCCACAGCTTCTCTGGGCAACCTGTGCCAGGGCCTGCCCACCCTCCAGGGAAGAATTTCTTCCCAATATCCCATCTAACCCTGCTTTTCATCACTTTGAAGCCATTTCCCCTTGTCCTGTCACTCCAGGCGCTTGTGAAAAGTCTCTCCCTATGGATGGCTCAAACAGCAAACACTGGCACTTCAAACCAGTGTAAGAAGCTGGAAAACTGCAGTGCAAAGAAAACATCTGGAACCACAATTAATCTGTCTTCTGTCACTCACGGGACTTGGAACAGATTCCTTATAAAGGATGCATGTGGAGTCCATGAAAAGAGGAGGAAATCTGATTTCACTGCCTGTGTGATGTAATGCAGCCCCACAAAGAAGTGATGCTTTTACACACGTGTGTACACACGTCTGAAGCGTGTGAACCCGCAGTACCACACTGATTCTTTGAACCCAACTGTTGCTTTTCAACTTCTGTTGCTGATTTGAGATTAAATGTTTGCAAAATAACCCAAAGGAAAAAAGAAGTTTAAAACATGAAGAACCACTGACAAAGCTGCAAAAAAGGGTTTTTTTCTTACAGTATAGTTTTTCTGTTATTAAATCTTTTGCCAGTAGATATGTTGATCATGCAGCCCCCGGAGGAGCCCCCTGGAGCAGGGGGATGTCCAAAGGAGGCCGTGAGCCTGGGGGAAGCCCAGCCTGCAGCAGGGGCCTGGCAGGACCTGTGGGTCCGTGCAGAGAGGAGCCCACGCTGGAGCAGGTTTGGTGGCAGGACTGGTGACCCCACGGGGGATACACAGGGGAGCAGTTCCTGAAGGACTGACCCCATGGAAGGGACCCACGCTGGATGGATGCCTTAAGGACTGATCCTGTGGAAGGAATCGAGCAGGAGAAGTTCATGGAGAGCTGTCTCCCATGAGGGGAACCCCACGCTGGAGCAGGGAAAGGACTCTTTGCTCTGAACAGATGCCTGATGAAGTGGCCATGAAACCCATTCCCCTTTCCCATTTAGCCCTGGTTTATTTATTATTTAGCGCCGAGACCCGGGTTCGATTCCCGGTCAGGGCCACTCCCGGGCAGGTGGGGCTCGTTAGCCCTTAAAGGCAACCCACCTACGTCCTAAGGACCTCACTGCCACCGTCCAAGCTCGCTTGGCCCCGGCAGATGAACCTTAGGATTAAAGGGTGGGCTCAGTTCCGCGCACACTGTGTCTCACCTAAAAAATCCAATGCTCAGGCTGGAAGGCGTAAACACCTTCCCCGGATCTTCGCTCGCGAAGACTGGCCATTAATTAATAATTAATTATTGATAATTATTAATTATTAATTAATATTTATTATTTATTGCGCATTTCGAACCCCATCTACAACCGGCCAGTGTGATAATAAAAATTAGTTTTCTCTCCCAAATCGACTAAAAACCTAGGGATAAAACACGGAGGCTTTTGGTCCGTTTGGGATAGAGGACTAAACCGTGTGTGTTGGGTGTCACACGGGGCACAGCTGGAACCAGGTGGCAGCGTCTCCACAGGTGCTTTTGGCGCTGGGGCAGCCGCGCGGTGACTTTGACAGAGC